TCTTCTTCTTCTTCTTCTTCTTCTTCTTCTTCTTCTTCTTCTTTCTTCTTCTTCTTCTTCTTCTTCTTCTTCTTCTTCTTCTTCTTCTTCTTCTTTTCTTCCTTCTCCTCCTCCTTCTCCTCCTCTTTCTTCTTCTTCTTCCTCTTCTTTGTGAAGACAGTTTTTCTGAAATTGATGTGACCATTAGATTTATCTGGAGCAATTGTTAAAAATTCAGATCCCCACGCTCCACCCCAGACCTACTGAATCAGAATCTCTGGGGGAGACCTGGGATTCTGTATTTTTAACAAACTTTTGAAGACATTCTTATGATTAAGCAAGTTGGAAAATGTGGGATTAGGACATCTCCAATTTAAAATTCTTGGCAAATCAAATATATAAGTGAAGGGAATGGTGGATAATGGTGGAGGTTAGACTAGATCTACCTTTGTTAGCCACTGATAGTGTAGTATGATGTTTCAAATTTCATTGTACAAAGGAGTTACTCCTTGATTTTGATAAAAATGCAGGTTCTGTAACTTCTGTTCCCTTATCTCTACCTGACTCTATGATCCTGATTTAGTTGATTTGGGAATAAGCCTGAATACCTACATTTTAAAATAATCATGACAATTCTGATGTAAGAGTTTCTTGGGCCTTATTCTGAAAAATGTTAGCTCATTATCAATCTATTTCTCAGGTCACAGTTTCTTAAGAAGCCTTAAATGTGTGGGACTCAGGATAGATAAGCTCTGGTAAAGGTTTAGGAGAGGTGTGTTCTAGTGCACACCTGGCCAGGACAGCCTTGCATAGCTCTGACAAATTCCCTTAACAGACTGCATGCCCTGGGACAAGAGATTGCACATTTCAGAATTTGAAGAGGAAAATATTTCAAGAAAATTTGGATAGAAAACAATGCCCAGGATTACCTGAAATATTTTCTCCCCTGCCCTTCATTTGCAGAAGAAAGTATGAAATTGGCTCTGAAGCAAGAAGAAAATGTGGACAACACAGTGGTGAGGGTGAAATATGAACATCCTGTTCAAAAGGCACTGAAAAATCAAAGCAAGTGAAACAAAGAAGCACAAACCCAGAGTTACTCTTCCCAGACTCACAACTTTTCAGGCAGTGGGGTAAGGATCTTTCTGAGGCCCAGCAGAAAAAGGCCGAGGACCTTTTCATGAAGTTTGGTTACAACGTTTACCTCAGTAACCAGTTGCCTTTCAATCGCACCATCCCAGACACCCGAGATTCCAGGTAGGATGGACCAAGTTTGGGTTGCCAAGGGACCTTGGTTTAATTGGGGGATGAGCTTTGGGAGCAGCGAAAGTCGAGGGTTGGGGAGAGGAAAATTGATGGGGAAGGAATTCTGGCAGGCTGACTGAGCAGAGTTCTTGTTTTTAATCCATTTTATAATGGCAGCTCAGAGAGGACAACTGACTGGTCCAAATGTTTACAGCCCCTTGGAAATGGGCAGAGATGTCAGAGAAACAGATCCTTGAGAATTCTGATGATGAGTCTAACTCTTAATTGTACAGATGAGGAAAGTGAGGAAAGACTTGTGCAAGTCACACTGAAGTTAACAGCTCTACTTTCTCCCATGGTGTTTTCCTCAAATTCTGTGTGAATTCCTCTCTGTTATTAATTCTAATTTAAAGAGCCTTCCCTGGGGCGCCTGGGTGGCTCAGTCAGTTAAGCATCTGCCTTGGGCTCTGGTCATGATCGAGCCCTGCTGTGGGCTCCCTGCTTGGCAGGAAGCCTGCTTCTCCCTCTTCTACTCCCCCTGCTTGTGTTCCCTTCTCGCAGTGTCTCTCTCTGTCAAATAAGTAAATAAAATCTTAAAAAAAAAAAGAGGCTTCCCTCTCTTTCTCCGTCAGTTTCTTCTTCCCATTGCTTTTTCTCTTTGCGTCTCCCACCATTCTTCATAAGTCTTAAAAATAACAACTTTGTTGAGATATAATTCATATACAATTCATCAATTTAAAGTGTACAATTTAATGGTTTTTAGTATATTCACAGAGTGGTGCACCATCACCATAATCAATTTTAAAACATTTTCATCACTTCAAAAAAAATTCCATACCCATTAATAACCCCTCCTTGTTTACCCATAATTCCTCATTCCTAGGCAACCATTACTCTACTTTCTGTCTCTGTGGATTTACCTATTCTCAACATTTCATGTAAGTGAAATACTATAATATATGGGTCTCTCGTGGCTGGCTTTTTTCACTTAGAATAATATGTTCTCCTTTAAATTATTATTATTATTTTTATTATGTTCAGTTAGCCAACATATATTGCATCATTAGTTTTTGATGTAGTGTTCAACGATTCCTTAGTTGCATATAACACCCAACACTCATCACAACATGTGCCCTCCTTAATATGCATCGCCTGGCTGCCCCATCCCCCCACCCCCCTCTCCTCTGAAACCCTCAGGTGGTTTTCCAGAGTCCAGAGACTGTCATGGTTTGTCTCCCTCACTGATTTCTTCTCCTTCAGTTTTCCCTCCTTTCCCCTATGGTACTCCATGCTATTCCTTATGTTTCACATATGAGTGAAACCATATGATAATTGTCTTTTTCTGCTTGACTTATTTCATTTAGCATAATCCCCTCCAGTTCCATCCATGCCAATGCAAATGGTGGGTTTTCATCCTTTCTGATGGCTGGATAATATTCCATTGTATATATGTACCTAGAATAATGTTTTTAAGTTACATTTGTGTTATAGTATGTATCAATACTTAACTCCTTTTATTGTCAAATAATGTTCTTTTGTACAGGTACACCACATTTTGTTTATCTATTTTCCAGTTAGTGGAAATTTGAATTGTTTCCACTTTTTGACTATTAAAAATAATACTGCTCTGAACATTCATGTATAAGTTTTTGTGTGACATATGTCTTCAGCTTTCTTGGTTATACCCTAGAAGTATAATTTCTGGGTTATATGATAACTCTATATTTAACATTTCAAGGAACTGCCAGACTGTTTTCCAAAGTGACTGCATCATTGTACATTCTCTCTAGCAGTATATGAGAGTGCTGGTTTTTCCACATCCTCACCAACATTTGTTATTCATCTTTTGATAATAGATATTCTAGTGATGTGAAATGGTATATCATTGTGGTCTTCATTTAAATTTTCCTGATATCTAATGATAGTGAACATCTTTTCACGTGCATATTGGCTATTTGTATATCTTCTTTGGAGAAATGTCTATTTAGAGACTTTCTCCTTTTTTTTAAAATTTAATTTAATTGTATTATGTTATGTTAGTCACCATACAATACATCATTAGTTTTTGATGTAGTGATCCACAATTCATTGTTTTATTAATATGATTTTGTCCAGTTTATCTATTTTTTTTTCTTTGGTTGCTTATGCTTTGGATGTCATATGTAAGAAACTATAATGCTTAATGCAAAGTCATGAAGATTTATGCCCTTTTTTCTAAAAATTTTGTAGTGTTAATCTTACATTTAGGTTTTTGGTCCATTTAAAATTAATTTTTGGACATGGTGTGACGTAGAGGTCCAACTTCATTTTCTTGCATATGGCTATCCAGCTGTCCTAGCACCCTTTGTTGAAAAGACTACTTTTTCCACATTGGATTGTCTTGGCACCCTTGTCAAAATCAATTGGTCATAAATGTAAGAATTTACTTCCAGATATCAATCCTATTTCATTGTTTCATAGGTCTATTCCTTATGCCAGTAACTCACTGACTTGACAACTGTAGCTTTTGTAGTAAGTTTTGAAATCAAGAAGTATGAGTCTTCCAACTTTCTTCTTGTTCAAGATAGTTTTAGGTATTCTGAGATCTTGAATTTCCATATGAATTTTAGGATTAGCTGGTCAATTTCTGCAAACAAACCAGCAGTATTTTGATAGGGACTAGATTGAATCTGTAGATCAATTTAGGGAGTATTGTCATATTAACAAATCTTTCAATCCATGAACATAGAAAATCTTTGCATTTATTTAGGTTTTCTTTAATTTCTTTCAACAATGTTTTGGGTTTGGGAGTATAAGTTTTGTACTTCTTTTGTTAGATATGTTTATCTTTTTGATGCTATTTGAAGTGAAATTGTTTTCTTAGTTTCATTTTCAAATTGTTCATTGTAAGTCTATATAAACACTTTTTTTGTATTTTGAACTTATATCCTGCAACCTTGCCATATTCATTTATTAATTCTAATAGTTTTTTTAGTGGATATTTTAGAATTTTCTCTCTATTAGACTATGTTATTTGTACATAGAGAAAGCTATACTTCTTCCTTTCCAATATGATGACTTTTATTTAATTTTCTTGCTTAATTGCCTGGCTAGAATCTTGAGTAAAATGTTGCATAGAAGTGGTGAGAGAGGGCATTTTGTTTTGTTCCTCATTATGGGTGGGGGATGCATTTAATATTTCACCATTAAGTATGTTCGCTGTGGCTTTTTGTACATGCCCTTTGTCAGAAATCTCATTCTATTTCTAGTTTGTTTAGTGTTTTTTCTTTCTTTTTTTCTTGCTTTGAAGGGGTCAGATGTTTTTCTGTGTCTATCAAATTGATCATGAGGTTTTATTCATTATCTATTGATATAGTGTATTACATAAATTGATGATAGGATATCAAACAAATCTTAAATTCATGGCATAAATTCTACTTGACCATAGTATGCAGTTGTTTCTATATGTTGCTGGATTTGGTTTGCTAATATTTTGTGTCTCTATTCATAAGAAATACTGGTTTTTAGTTTTCTTTCCTTGTGATATTTTTGTTTGTTCATTTTTTAAAAGATTTTACTTATTTATTTGACAGAGAGAGATTGAGACAGAGAAAGAGCACAAGCAGGGGGAGAGGCAGGCAGAGGGAGAAGGAGAAACAGACTTTCCGCTGAGCAGAGAGCCTGATGTGGGGCTCGATCCAGGACCCTGGGATCATGACCTGAGCCGAAGACAGAACCTTAACTGACTGAACCACCCAGGTGCCCCTTTTTGTTTGGTTTTGTAACTAATACCGGCCTCATAGAATGACTTGAGAAATGTTTCCTCTTCTTCTATATTTTGGAAACATTTGTGAACGATTGGTACTAATTCTTTTTAAATATTTGGTAGAATTCACGAGAAGCCATCTGGGCGTGGATCTATTTTGGTGGGTAATTAGTGATTAGTAATTCAGTCTCTTTACTTGATATAGGTCTATGCAGATTTCTATTTATTTATTTCAAGATTTTATTTAAATTCAAGTTAGTTCACATATAGTGTAGTATTAGTTTCAGAGGTAGAATCTAGGGATTCATCAGTTGATATAACACCCAGTGCTCATGGCATCAAGTGCCCTCTTAATGCCCATCACCCAATTATGCCAGCCTCCCATCCACCTCCCCTCCAGCAACCCTCAGTTTCCTCCCTTTAGCTAAGAGTCTCTTATGATTTGGCTCCCTCTCTATTTTCATCTTATTTTATTTTTCCTTCCTGTCCCCTATATTCATCTGTTTTGTTTCTTAAATTCCACATATGAGTGAAATCATATGGTATTTGTCTTTCTTTGACTGGCTTATTTTGCTTAGCATAATACCCTCTAGTTCCATCCATGTCATTGCAAATGGCAAGTTTTCATTCTTTTTGATGGCTGAGTAATATTTCATTGTATGTATGTGTATATATATACACCACATCTTCTTTATCTATTCATCAGTCGATGGACATTTGGGCTCTGTCCATGTTTTGGCTAATAGACACATGAAAAAATGTTCAACATGACTCATCATCAGGGAAATACAAAACCACAAAAAGATAACACCTCACACCTGTCAGGATGGCTAAAATTAACAACTCAGGAAACAACAGATGTTGGCAAGGATGCAGAGAAAGGGAACCCTCTTACACTATTGGTGGGAATGCAAACTGGTGCAGCCATTCTGGAAAACAGTATGGAGGCTCCTCAAAAAGTTAAAAATAGAACTACCCAATGACCCAGCAGTTGCACTATTAGGCATTTATCCAGAGGATACAAAAATAGTGATTCGAAGGAGCTCGTGAACCTCAATGTTTATAGCAGCACTATCCACAATAGATTTCTATTTATTCTTTAGTTGCTTTTGATAATTTATGTCTCTTGAGGAGTCTGTCCACCTCATCTAAATTTTCTAATTTGTGGGAAGATTGTTTATTTATAGTGTTCCCTTATAATCTTTTTTTTATTTCTGGAAGGTCAATAATGATGTCCCATTTTTATTCCTGATTTTAGTAATTTGAA